AACGGTACAAAGGGGTCTAGGGTGACACATTACAGTAACATACATGTTTTGATCTGATTTATGATGAGAGCCTTTATCCCTACTTTAGGCTAGCCCCAGCCCCTGTTGATGCCCTATTTTCCATTATGTCTACCCCTCAACCCCCTGTTCAGGCCTAACATTAATCTACCTCATCAACCTCCTGTTAAAATCATACTTTTCTAATGTAGATACAATTCTAAACCCCGGCCTTTGAAAGCCCTATTTTGCAGGGAACCTTACCCCAACCCCCTGTTGAAGCCCTACTTTTTATGTCTATTGATTTTATGTCTATTGGATCCCTTATTTTGAAGTCTAGCTAAATAATCGAGTTTGATTTTAAACGTTTTCAGGGATCCGGGCAGAACTCAGGATATAGTACTTGAGTACATTTGCATTCAAAATGTTTGCAAATTCAAAATTGCAAATATCAATTATGTTCAATGATCGTCAACATGAAAGAACAATATGTCTGAATAATTAGCTATTAAGCATCTTTATCAAAACTTCCCTACACTTTTAAATGTTGATCTTGTCAAAGAGTACTCTCCATCTGAGATTCAGATGTAGATCGAAAACCAAATTGTTTTCAAAGATAAATGGTTTACATGAGGGGTTCTGTCCATGTGGGTGGTGTATTCATTTCATAACAAAGAGTTGTTTTGCTTCCGGGGTCCTAAATTATTCAATTTTAAATAGTAACTAATAAGATTAAACAGATCAAAAAGACTCAGGGAACTGCCGTCGCCCCATCATGATCAATACATGTGACAATAAGCGACACATGTTTCAGCATCATGATAGTAACCATGACATCTCAAATCTTCTCAGCCCTTGATTTTTGAGATCTTTCATCCCAGCTCATATTTCATCTAATTGGGGTCGTAAAACTTGTGTAACTGTGCCTGTTGCATCCTCGCTGCAAGGGTATTTTACACGTATAAATGAAGTCCTTTGAAGAAGGATGTGCCTGTTGTTAAATACATGTACAATGCCTTACTACATTATGTAATGTATTGACATTAAGGTAGATGATTACAAGATAACAATCACACTTATTGACATTCATAACTCTTCCCATCTATGCTCAGGTCACAGAATATGCCTCATTATATCAGAGCATGTTTCAGGTGAAACAGAAAGATCAGAATGACGTTTCAGACCCGTAGCCAGGATTTGCCAAGGGGTGGGTTACTTTTTTAAGAAATTCCAGGGGAGTTCACTTTTGGCAATGTTAGTTCAAAAATGGGCAAAATAATTTAAAAGGTGCTCAGTATGGGGTAAAAAATGCAATTTTGGTCACGGAGGAGGGGGGGGGGGGTCGCTAGAACCAATCTATCCACCCTGTATTCGGGCCTGCATGTGCTACAGCGTATCTACATGTTTGACAATTTGATTGACACGGTTCAAAGTGGACTTTGTTAATTATTCAAACTGTTTTAAAAGAGGAATATGCGTCCAAGTTAAAGTCACTCGAAATCAGGGTAGATAAACCTAAGAAAAACACATTTCGTGTTTTCATTTGATCTATATCATGATCCTGTAAAAATGTCAGATTTAGCAAAATAGATAGGCGATCTCCATCTGCACACGTCTACTCATTTCGACTAAGCTATTGCCTATACTTACACGCACACACATACTTTTTAAATTAATTTTATTTTGATAACGATTTAAAAAACACAAATTATTATTAACACGAAATTAAAATGATTGTTATATTCCAATCCTAGTAAAGTATAATTAAGGGCGACTATAGGGCATAACAACATGTGGCCGGTCTAATTATACTGTTTGTTTTGATAAGGCTGTGCAAAGAGATATCAAAACTCTTGACACGCTCTTTACACGCGAGGTCTTTGCACCTCTTGACACGTCTTGGAATCTCTAGATACGCGGAGTTCCTAGACTATCTTTGCACGTCTAGAAATTGCTTGGAATTTCACATTTGACGCAGTGAGAATGCATGAATGCATGAGATACTCTGTTTGTCTAATTGTATTGTTTAGTATATTTTTGAAAGTACCTTATTAACATCTAACAGTCATCAGATAAACCATTATAAGGAACAGACAAGTACAAACAAATAACATTATCATCACTAATAAGTCAAATGGGTTGCTCATGAACATCAAATGCTAGAAACCTACATTCTTATGATTGAAAAAAGCTTAACCAAGGCCTGTTTGAAATTTTTGGTTATTACTAATTTTTCAACTGAAAAATCTGACGATGAAAATTGTTTTAAGACTTGATTCATGGAAAATGCCGTCGTCAGAAATGATACAAATATGTTGTCAATAGTTTCAATGTTCACGAGGAATGTCGAATCAGCTAACATTGTATTTTCCATTTACCAATATTCAATGTCAATATACCAATACGCGATAACGTTTAATTTCGTTCAGTTTAGCTACCTCTTGTTTGAAGAGCTCTCATGTATGGTACAACTTCGTCTACATCCGGGTTCTTTCCCATTGGATTACTCAGGGGTGCTATTTTCAATGCCGCACTGCGGCTCTATTAAACATTTATGTAGAGTTTCATTTGCACAAACGATAGGTATGTATGTAATTAAGATATATGACAAAGCTTTTTGAGCTATAATCCCCAAATCCGAAGAAATCTGTAGTTGAAAATACCGTCCAATTCCAGTGACGTCACTGATATCCCAGAAATTGCTCAGACGCCATCGAAGATAGAAAAAATATAAATAATGTTACTTTGAATCTCCGATTATCTTTCTGATTATTGAATAGATTGGATTATATAACTATGCTTGAGGGCTGATGGAAGATCAGAAGCTGAGAAACGTTCAGAGTAATCGACTCGTTCGGCGGGCCAATGAAAATTTGTCCCTTCCAAAGTGATGCATCATGGGAGATACTTATGTAAATTACCACCTGAACTCTTATCGCGAATAGGAGTATTGGGACTGTTGTCATTCAATAGTCGAACTTCAAACATAATTCATCTGTTAATTAGAATTTGAAACATATGTCAAGTTTAGAGAAAATAACACAGCCGTTGGACGTTGGAAGCTTTCTTACAATTTTAACTAATACAGTAGTTGTTCGTTCAGTGCGATCGTTTCTCCTTTGCCTCTGAAGATTTATAATTTCCGAGGCATATTATGCTGGTTCCTCAGAGTAAATCGCTAATTTGAACCGTTTCCTTATAAAACAAAGAAATACATTTCCCCCGTTAAAGTGTAATCCTAACCTTCAACACTAGATGATCATCGAGAAAGAGACTGGCAACTGCAGTGATTTGATCCCTGTGGTTGATTTATAGCTATAATTTCACCATTATCAAATGAATGTGTATTTCACTGATGATATACTCGATTACGCTGGTTACCGGAACAGTTCGTTTCGTTAACAAAATGTCGGGACATCCTTTAGCTATAGTTTGACCATTATCAAATGAATGTGTATTTCACTGGTGATCCACTCGATTACGCTGGTTAATGGTTCGTTTCGGTAACAAAATGTCGGAACATCGAAGGTACGATTTTTCTTTTTTCCTTATTTCACACGTTGTAGGCAGAATTCCCACGGCATTAGTATCATATGTTTAAGAAAAAGAACAAAGTTGCAAACAGCTAGTTCAGAAGACAACAGAATCGTCGATTTGATTCCTCACTTAAGTTACATAAACAGTATTTCGAAAAACAGTTAAGATCTGCACTTTTCACCCATACCGTTTATGTAACTTGAGTGAGAAATTAAATCGATAAATTCTGTTCTCTTCTGGGCTATTCTTTCCCAAAGATGTACATTTTCTAAAACATATTATACTGATACACGTTTGTGGTAAAAATGTCGTGGGGATTCTGCCTACAACGCGTGAAATAAGGAAAAAAGAAAAATCGTACCTTCGACGTTCCAACATTCTTTTACCGCAACCAACGTAACCGAAAATTGATCGTCTGTCCCTGTGTCCCAATGCATTGCGTGATCAACTGAAAATAAAACTGTGCGAGCAAATTTTCTAAATTTTAGCCATTGAGGACATTTATCAATAACGATATCATTAGTAAATATATTTTTATGATATAAATTGAGATTAAGTGATGTTATGTGAAATAAATGGTGACTGAAGTGACTGAACTGAAAAATGCTCGCATAGTTTTATCTTCAATTGATCGGTATGGCCAATCAGAAAGTTAGCGGGCGCGGGCTTTTCAAAAGTTATATTGGCCCGCTGTCTTTTGTACAGTTTACACCATACATCATCATATGTATGTAATAACATAATATAGAGTAGCAAACAATAATCTGAACAATGCATTGATTTCCCAATATTATAACGTTTCGATATCACGTTATTAGTAAATGAATCATTGTATCTCCTTGAGAGTATGAAACTTTGTTTCAACTTTGGAAAATAAATCATTTATATTACTGTGAAGAGTTGAAATTTTAACAAACTTGCAATCCATCTTTAGTGGCACCTTCTGGATTTGACAGTAGTTTCCAAGCGCAAATGTCATGAAGGTGTGAAATACAATGTTCGTCAATGAGGATTGGCAGCCGTCATTCAATCTAGATCTTATGTTGCCTGGCGTGAAACAATTTGGTAACGATGTTCCCCATGTCTTGAAGACAAGTACTGCTAGGGGCGTTTGAATACTTTATTATATCACCATAATACTCACAATGTCCTCTTCCAATGAAATACTCCGTCCGAAGATGAACCTGATAGAAATATTATTACCTAATTGTTCCACGCCAGGAAACGCAAGATCGCGTTAAAGTAATGGGTTTCAACCCTCCTTGATTATTTGTTCAACTGAAATTATTGGATTATAAAAACCGTCTATCAAGTGATTCAAATGTTGTCAACGGGAAAATGCTGTCGTCAAAAGCTGTCAATACCATACAATAGCTGAACGTCAGGCAGCATTTATCTTTTCATCTTTATGTACTAATACATCATAGTCCAGCAGTTTGAGGAGGCATTCTCATACTTGAGCACCTATGGCTTCGCTTATGATGGAAGTTCCAAGAATCACGCTCATTGTTGCTGTTCTTTGGACGTCACCTTTGACAGTTTCAAGTCAAATGTGGGCGACTAGTGAGTTTATAGAATGCATAATAAAATACAGATCAGCTACGATGGCTCATTTTATTTTGTTACATGTAAATGAGAATTTCTAAAACTTGTAATAGCGAAATCGAAAATCAGAGGTATAAGGTGTTCACTTGATGTTGGGGATTCGGCCATTTTAAAACGGTTATATAAATGAAACGCTGATGAGAAATAGTTGCTAAAATTCATGGATATGCGGAATGGAGAACATGATACTTGTTTTCATGTTTTATATTCATTTAGGTCCAGGGGTGGGATGTCAACAAAACTGTCCAGGTTTTTTACTTTCTTATGAGTGCCGTAATATCTTAACTCCCGTCCAACAGAACGGGGTGTGTCAACCGGGCGTGGATTCACGAGGTTGTTGCGCTGGCTGCGTTACAGGTAAGTTTATGGGCCATCCGTGTCATTAGCAAACATATCATTGGTAGTCAGGGGTAGATCTATGAATTAAATCTTTTTTGTTCTTTTCTACCAATGCTCTGGAATGAAATACAACATCGAGGAATTAACATCAACATCCCCAAATAGTTAGGTGGAACTCCCCGAACCTCCGTTTGTATGTTTTTAATGTTTTATTTATTTTAGATAACACACACAAAAACTATGCATTACATGTGTATTTCACACACACAGGTTCGATTGACGCATCAACCGGTATTGGCATTCTCCTCAACTCTATACCTATTCCCAGTATTGTGGTATTTGATGCCACTGAACAAGGCCTTATCGATCAAGTAATTGCTGACTTAGAGGGTATCGAGCAGTTTGGAAACTTGGAGAATATACTAAATAATGTAGATAACCAGATTGTTCCGAATCTTTGTACTTGGGCCCAAACCTTTGCGACAAAATTGTGGAGTATTACGGACAACATAGAGCGTGTCATCGCTTTAGTTGATGGTCGAGGTGGGACATTTGGACCAAATGAGAGAGAGGCATTACAAGGTGTAATAAATCTTGTCCTTTGGTTTAAAAAATGCCTTTTACCAAGAGGTAAGTTACCTTTCAATCATATAGGCTATATTGTCCATTTCAAAACCAATGCTATAAAGTTCACTCTCCATTATGGTTTCCCCATGAAGTAAAAGGAATTCACATGATTTTCAAAATGAATATACATGCAGTGCTTCATTTATTGAATTTATGTATGCTAGTATAGTATCTTGTTGACCTATATTCAGTACTGTTTTGATGCATCGGCCACTTATTAAGGTCCATATTCAATCAGGAAGTGTAGAGGCGTAGATGTTAAATAAGCTAAACTTTTTGTATCTGTCAAAATCCATTTGCATCCTTTGCATCCTAACATCTTATTCACATATCTTATTAATTAATGAAACACAATAGTATGATCTTTGAACTTACAAAGTTGTATGACATTTGATAAGTGTAAAGCTAGCCCTTGGAGCATTTTTCTAAAGCCATTTTGTAGGGGAAAATGATGAAATCTTGTATAAAGTATGACTTGAATCGATTGCGAACGTCATATTTGCACATTTGATGAGATATACCATTTGTGCCATACTGTGAAATATTTTTAATTTGCATTCGATTCAGGCCATAGTGTATAATTGGTAAATTTGTGATTATGGATGGAAGCCAATGGCTTGTATTGCACCTCGGAATAGCCTGACGACGGTTTAAAATCGGATACCGTTGTCACAAATGGCGGACATAACCGTCACTTCAATATATTAGATTTTCATGAACTGTATGTTTAATAGAGCACGTAGACTAAATTTGGAACAACAATTAATCAAATTTTCTTAATACTCATTGTACAGTTAAATGTTCGACCATCGAAATAAAGTTATTTAATTTAACCATCAAAATGAAATACGGGACAACGGAGACTGTAATTACCATATACCGCTTTCTTTCTAAATTCCTCAAATTCAGATTCCATTGTCATTGACGATATTGAAGATGCTATATTGTGGCGATTCACGAGCCAAATTGATCACACATGGGATTTCATATGATACATTATCACAGGAGCTTAATGCATGCACAGAATTAGCGACGATAAAATCCCATGAAATGAGGACCAAGTGATTAAACAGTTGAAGCGATGGTTACGTCCGCCATTTGTGACAACGATATTAGACTTTACCGTAGTCAGGCTAGTCATGATATCCCCATGTTAAGTAAATGGAGCACATCTCATCTCAAATCAATACTAGTACACCCTTGCTGAACTTAATGTCCTCAACATCAGCCCATGTGAGTCCAAAAGCTTAATCAATTTCCAAAGTGTTATGTGACATTATATTCTTCATGTCACACCTTAAAATGATTCATTCTGACCATAATGATATTGCATATTATAATGAACAAGACAAGCGAATTGAGAAACAGAAGTTACAGCTGATGTCTTCAAAAGACTATGTGCAGGATGGTTCATACTATGTGCAGAAAGAGATAGACAAATAACCATATTTAGACCTATTTTGGACACCCAATATGTGCTAATAATCATCTCATAATCTTTAGTGCTTGAAGTCAGTGGCTTGGAGTGTTTCAAAGACGATTTGGGTTGCGATTATCGGCATCGTCCATTCTGTAAATCCGACTGCAGATGTTCGGAATGTAGAGATGACAACGACTGTAACGAACCAAGCAGGCCAAACTGCAGAAACAATCAAGCAGGGATAATGATATGCGGGGATCCTCACATATCTCAGACCATTAAAGGCGCTGAACATCGACGACTTTGCTACGACTTTGTGGGAAACCTGGTTCAGCATATCTGTTCTTCAGAGATTACGAGATAGGTAGATATCTTCGTTAAATTTGGAATGTCCTCTCCCTTAGAAATACGATCTGTTACTGAGATTTTCGCTAGTTGAGACTCAAATTTGACGATGAACAGCAGATTTTTTAGGTAGCTATACCCCGCGTGCCCACATTACATCGGAAGTAACTAATTTCTATCAGTTTCTTTTTTAGATATCAAAACAACGTTCATCGAGAATGAGGACGCCAACCTCGAGTCTTCTGTCGACTACATCGGGCAAATTAATGTAACAAGAAGCGACATCGAGATTTCGATCTCACCAGATCAGGTAATCTTGAGGACATCAGAATGTGAAACAATTTACCCGTGGAAAGAAGATACCGTTAAGCTCGAAGGCGGATTAATGATGACCGGAAAGAAACAAGTCCGTGTTTACTTAAACAATAACACGGTTGAGCTTGTTGTCACTCGTAAAGGACGCGCTAAGGGAACTAATTTCTTGAACTTTGGTGTCACAGAAAAAACAGGCATGACTATCAACGCCGGTGGAGTTATGGGTAAGTTGATTCCAATATTTGCAAACATTAACTAATATTTTAATAAGGGTTTTAAGCAATAAAAGGTAGCGATGAGTTGATTGTGATTTTCGGAAAGTAGTCACACTTTTCCAATGTATAAAGCTTGGTCATGGTATTCCTTGCCATTTGTCAGTTTATAGTGCTGATTTCATTTCACGAAAATGACTTGTTGAAAATTCCTGGACTCCCCACTTGTTCACACTTTCAGAATACCATGCAATGTAGATTATCGTTTTTACTGTTTTTACACATTGTCATGATCCCTTGCTGACTCATAATTAGAATATCATGTTTCTTTGTACGATTTTGCATTTAACATTGTTGTTCAAAGGGTTATTATTGTAAGAATTAGATTGCCCCTTCATTTTTAGAATCTGATTCGATCAATTCCATTTCATCAAATGATGCATGGATATAAAGAAATGCCTGTCTAAATGATCAGTAGATACCCAGAATCAAGCAATGGATTTAGCTTCATTGCCTTGTAGTTGTTCTTTACAAACTTCGGATATTAATCCTGTAGTATCTTTAACTTCTTTCATTCATTTGATCAGATATATTATGTTCCAGGTATGAACCATGAGGGGCTTATTTGCATAAGCTTGTAAAATATTGTTTTCGACATTTACACTTCATATATACAGTGTTCATATTTTTATCTTTGATGTAACTTTAAACGAACAATTGTTACAGGATGGATTGGTAACAAGGCTGTTTACAAGAATGAAGGCCCTCATTCTGGTTACATAACATTAGGAGAAGTCACAATTCCTGTTTACGACAATAAAGACGGCTGCTTGAAAATAGATGAAGCGTATTTGGACAAGTTCAGCTCTATCCTTCATTTGTTCGAAATGGACTAAAAGAGTAACAGTTATTCAAAACTTTTTCGAGGACTTTCTTTAACTAACTTGAATATTCGATCGATCATAATTAATGGAATTGTTCATATATTTATCAGTATTTTAGCTACTATATTTCTACAAATTTTGGCTTTTAACATACACTTTGTTTATTAACACACATTTTAGCTATTAACATACACTTTGGCTATTAACACACATTTTGGCTATTAACATACATTTTGGCTATTAACACACATATTTTGGCTATTAACAAACACTTTGACTATTAACACATATTTTGGCTATTAACATACACTTTTGCTATTAACACACATTTTGGCTATTAACATACACTTTGGCTATTGACACACATTTTGGCTATTAACATACACTTTGGCTATTAACACACATTTTGGCTATTAACATACACTTTGGCTATTAACACACATTTTGGCTATTAACATACTTTTTGGCTATTAAGAAACGTTTTGACTATTAACATACTTTTTGGCTATTAAGACACATTTTGGCTATTAACATACTTTTTGGCTTTTAAGACACATTTTGGCTATTAACATATTTTTTGGCTGTTAACATACATTTTGGCTATTAAAACAATTAAATAAAATGCATGGATAAACAGATATAAACGTTTTGTTTCATGAATGTAGAAGCAGTTATCTGGTAATAATTATATTATCATTCAGCATATCATGCTTTCGAGCATTTATATAATTTATTTGATTCTTGTGATAAGGAGTATGTGCCAGTCAGTGTTATTCATTCGATATGATGTTGAACTGTCAGGAACACATAGATACTTGAATGATGTTGATTGGACATCAGGGTGCAGAGAAATCGTAATTTTACTGAGAGCAAGGAAATTGGCACACGCCTTCATACTTTATTTTGTACCAGAAAAAGACATGTGCAGGTATAGCAATTTTTACAAAAATGTTATTTTCTAGCTGTACCTTAAAGAGATCGAGTCGTCCAGATTTCTATTCTGGACAATCAGTAATGTCCCAATATAATTGCTCATAAAACATCATATATACCTTAGATATATCTTGAGACCAAATCATAAGCACGATATCGACAATATATTGAGGAATGAACAGGACAACCAAAAGACCAATCAACTGTCAGAATTGAACAGAATAAGTCGAAAACAGAATACAATGTTTTTTGGTAATGTATCTATATTGTAACCACTTAGAAGTAATACATATGGTTTCTCTAAGCCAAAATAATCTGAAGGAAAAAGGCAATCAGACTGGAACAAAATTGAGCGGGCTTTTTAAATTTGAACTTCTATTGATGTAAGTGAAAATTCATGGCTAGGAACAATCATCGAATTGATATTGTTAACGAATTAATTCAAGCCTCAGAATTGATAAATTGATAAACAAACTTGTTTTACATCAAATAACACGAAAAAATCAGGGGGTTACTCTAATTGTGTTTTTAGGAGACCCGATCACCTTAAGGGTGGTAATTTCAAAATACTACACAGTGGCCAATGTTTTACCAAATTGCTACATTGTTTCAATGAATATGACGTTAGAACTGTAGTACATTTTAACATTTATAATATTCAACCATGACAACAACCGGATAACTGAATATCTAGGGCAAGTGTATTTCCAAAATAAACTTTGTTGATGGACCTGTCTTCTAGACGGTAGCTTCTAGACAGACATGAAATTGTTAAAATCAGCAATTCTTAATTTTGATTTTAGGACGTCAAATTGGTTAAAACGCATTAATAACACTCTTGCTTAAGTTGCTTGTGTTTTTATTGTTATTGAAGTAAAATAAATTTTGCCTCTAGTTTATGTGAGCTAATTTGATAACAAAAAGTAAAGGGTAAAGTGTTCAAATCGCGGGTCAGTTATTATCAAAAAATTTTGTGGGGTACTAATTAAAGACAATATTCACTCTTTCAATAGTTGAATATTAAGCATAAAAGAAACAAACTTAAAATCTGAACACCGAATTGATCTTTTACCTTGCCCCACACTGTATGTGTAATCTCATCAGAATAGCATTAAGCAACTCTTCATCTTCATTAAACAAGACTAATATGGAAATTTAAGAAACAAAATTAAAAACTTTATTACATATTATAGTTATTATATTATTCTAAAATTGCATTAATAAACAATGGTTATTACACTTGTATTTGTAGTCTAAAAAGCAATCTTAAATACACAACCATAAACATAACATTTTTCAACAATAAAAAATATTTGGACACAATATGGGTACTACTGTAAATATGATGGTGAAATACATACTTAGTGCATGTAATTTATAATTGAAATAGTTTTCTTGATCAAAGGATGGGTATCGATATGGTGAACTTTTTGAACACATGTTTCTCACCAGTCATCAAAAAGTTCTGAAAATTTTGTACATCGTCAATTTAGTGGTCATCTTTTGAATGGTAACAATATAATTTGAAATAAATATATATACTTTTCTCTATATTGTTTTAGAAAACAAATCAGACACTGCTTTTGTTCTTGGTATCATATGTTCGGAACGAAATGAACGAAATGCACATCTACCCGAACCTCATTGGAACAAAATGACATAAATACAACGTCTTTAGGTATCGTAATTGTACAAAGGAAAGTTTGGTTGATTTTAAAAAGTATCTTGTTAATGAAATAAAAGGTTTATCTTAATTGTCATCTATTTTGTTTTCATTTTTTGAATACTTTTTGTTAAATCAACCAAATTTTTCTTTGTATGACTATGATATTGAGAGGTCTAAGAAAATGTTGTATATGCCATTTTGTTTCAACAAGCTTCAGAAAGATATTTTATTTCATTCTCAACATTTGGTAAAAAGGAACAAAAACAATTGCACTAAAAACAAAGAATGTTAACCAAAACAGTAACATAAAATATATATAAACAATTTTTTTTTACTTTAAATTGTTGTCAATCAGTCGAAACATTAGGATCATGTTTTTTACAGGAATGTTTTCAATAATTGATTTAAGAGAAAAACATTGTTGAATTCAGTTCACCATATCGATACCAATCCTTTTGATATATCACCCAACCATATACCGATTTCTTCAATACCATTAGATCAACTGGTTTGGGTGTTTATACCTATGTCATCACCCAGGAACTAAAGAGTAAAATTGTAAAAAGGATTTTCCCTTATATGAATCTCAACAATGGACCTTATAGCATCTAAAATCACCCATCAACCATATAAAGTTTATAGGTCATCAACGTTAAAAAGTAGTTACAAATTCTCATTACACTTCTTTGGAATTCTACATAGAAATTAACATTATCTCGGAATTTTCCATTTGTGTAATGGAATTTTCCAGAACTCTGTAAATACTTTTTAAAACTCAATTCAATCCGAATGCATATAATTGTTATAAAGATAACCAAATAAACACTGATTTCTACTTATTCAATACAAGTCATTATAAATCATTTGTATTTTAACCTTTACAATAAAAATATAAATCTTCTGAGGTTTTTATAACATAACTCAGTCACTAAACATAATTCATTGAGATGACATTCACGAAACCCAGTTACTTTGATTATACAAAGCTCTTTCACAATAAAATGTATCAAAATATTATGTAGTATTAAACAAATGCACATAATTCAATTTAACTAGCAAATATTAAAAAAAAACATGAAGTACATTCAAGGTATATAACAAAAGGCAATGCCAAGAAAAATTGTTAAAAAAATGTTACAGACGCTAAACACCAATGAAACATTGAAAGCCAGTCACAAAAGTGATGGAGGTTACAATACATCATAATAATTAAAATGCAGTTTCAATGTAAAAATATATTATTGCAAATTAGTATAATTCACAACCAGTTTCGTGTTTACACAAACTCATTAATAGAATTAATATCATTCACATATAGGGACATATCATATATCCAAGGGAAGGTATTACATAAACATTTTGTTTCAAGTAGATACAAGGGGCGATCCATATATTCTGATAAAAATGCTCTCATTTTGTGATTTTTTCACATATCCCTTTCATTTTTTCAGAATATGTAAATTATGTAATTACACATACGATGCTCAACTACCAGGTCGTTCAATAAGTTCTCATAATTTTGCTCTCATTTTAAGAGTTTTTTATATTTTTCCATGAAAATTTCACAGACGATGCAGAATGTATCTGTGTAACAACTCTGCAAAGATTATGTATTAATTCTAATGGTTGTGGAAATGGCGGTTGCTATAGTAACGTCAAAAATCGGTAGGCGGGGCAACTTTATTTGATCGTAAAATCCATGGATGTAGTTAGATTTCATCTTGAAATGTCATATGTTTTATCTGAAAGATTTGCAACCATAGAAACAGGTTTTGACATCAGTGTGAAAGATGCAACTTTTCTGAGTATAGTTATTACTGTGACATCACATAAAAAGGTATGACATCACAGGTAAGGTTTCAATAGAGAGACCCAAGATGGCAGCTGACTGTGGTCTTGTGAAAAGTCAAGATGAAATTCAAATTCAAATCCGTAGTGTGATAAGATTTTGTGTGTTATCCAAGAAATCAAGAGGAGAAACAATAAAAGCAGTTCAAGATATTTATGGAAAGGAGTTAATGAGCACACCTACCATATACCAATGGTATCAAAGGTTTGGTTCAGAGGGAAGAGAATCTGTGATGGATGAAAAACGGACTGGCAGACCGGTAAAAGTCACCAACCCAAAGGCTGTTGAAAGAGTTAAGACAGTTCTAGATGATGATCGCCGCATCTCTGTACGGGAACTTAGTGAGAATGTGAACATTAGTATAGGTAGAACACACTTCATTCTGAAAGAGAAGCTTAAAATGAACCTCATGTGTGCTAAATGGGTGCCAAAGGAGTTAACTAGTGACCAGAGAGCCCGCAGAGTTGAGGTTTCCCAAGAATTTCTAAGACGATACCAAGATGAAGGGGATAGTTTTCTTCAACGAATTATCACATGCGACGAGGTGTACGTCAGCTATTATGA